GTGGGAGATGCGTTCGAAAAGAAGTAACAACCTGAGCTTTGATATTTTCGAGTTATGCGAATGGCATAGAAGTGTCGATAAAATCCGCGCCTCGGTATAAAAGCACATCTAGTGATCTCGTTATATTGCAGCAACAACGTCAACACTCAGTATACGGAGAGGAGTTGCCCTATGTACTGGGTGTCCCATTAGACGGCAGAGAGTACAACTTATGGGGGGGTCGATACGACATCAGGGAGATGCTGTTTTCAGAGGCCATTATGAATTGGTGGTGCAGCTTCGCCTATAGCGGGTGAGTTATTGCGAAGAAGCATTTAGCAACGAACCTTATGCAATGACTTATACATGTTTCAACATTTACAAATATTTAATTAAAATGTTTAATTAAAATGAAATGTTTCAAAACTCCTTTTAAAATTACAGACGAAAATATCAACATTTTAATTTAATATAGTTCGAATTAAAGCTTATACAATTATAGATATTAATGATAATAACAATTAATTAAAAGAAATTAATTTAATTTAAAATAGTGACAAATTTATTCCTCTTGTCGCCCTTATTTTCAGAGATATCTCGCGTTTTATTCAATGTAGCAAATTATTAATTGGAAAATGTAAATAACATTTGCCGTGCTAAATGGCAGTGATTGCGCAAGTTTCGAAAAAATAAATTTGAAATATAATCTGGAAAATGATCGTAGTGCGCATTAAAGTTAAATTAAAGTTAGTATTAAAAGTTTAACATATGAGTGGCGGCAACCGCGTTGAAACAATCGTATTTAATAACAAGTGGCGAACTATTGTTGTTGGGCGTTGACGCGAAAATCCGTTAGTTGGTAAAGTTGGACTTGGTAACACACGGATCCGGAAACGTGATTTTCAATTAACTAAACATTCAGGCGTTTAATTAAACCAGACGGTAATATATTTTTCCGTTGTACATTTGGAAACAAGTGAAAACATTATAAGCACATCTCAATTCAAAAACTATTTAAATAATTTAATACGTTTTTAAGTTAAAAAGCAAACAAATTTACAGAGACAGAATTTTAAAAAAATTTGAAGTGTTTATTTGTAAACACGAATTAGTTAAAAAATAGACATTATATTAATTAAAAAATATATACATATATATACATGTATATATTTGAAGAATATGTGTAATCTAAAAAGGTCCGTTTGAAATTAATTTAAATATTATATACCTAAGCAAATATGATATATATATATTTTATTATAAACGCGGTTTTAGGTATAAGCAAAATGTTTCGTGTCTTTTAGAAGCGACATATTGTGTGGCTTTTGATTATAAAATAAAGGGAGGCATTATTCGAAACGCTGAATTACTGCATTAATATGCTAAACAGAGTAATGTGAAAAAAATACAATAAAATGCGCGCAATTTTCGATTGCAACATAATTTCATTTCTTTCTGTAAATATGCAGAAAGATTAAAAATTTATTAATTATACCCGATAACCTTTCTTCAAATTTCTACCAAACTATGTGACCGAATCTTTTACCTTTCGGTTTGTGTGCATGAATATATACATGCATTGTATGTACTTTCGGATTTTGGTCTTGTATTGGCTCAGCGCAATTTGACGCTTGTTATGCTGATGCTCGATATTGTCGAATTAACGATCTGGGGAATCGGCTGTTTTAATTTGCGCGATGAAAGCAGATTATCCACAGTTTCGAATTATTTCGATATTTCGTTTTACTCAACAAAACATTCCGCTTTATTCAGTTGAACAAGCTCAATATTCTCGATATAAAGCCACGCTTTGTTTAAATGGGAAAATACCGAATGTCTAGTTATGTTAAAAATTTGTTGGCAATTGCCTAAATTGCGAAATGTTCCAAGAATTTTTAATCACATTCTAAAAACGCTTTAAGTCGAGTGTGCGCAAATTAAAATAAATCGAATACAGATTACCATTAACGTATGTTATCAAATGATTAATGTCTCAGTGACATTTAAAAGAACAAGATTAACGAATCAAGATGAGAAAATGTAGGCAATATTAAATGCAAAATCTATATTACAAAACTACGAAATGAATTTCTGAATTATTACATATTCAAATATCAATTAAAAATAAGTTTTACATTTTAATTTTACACATGCTTTAACATTTGTACATACGGCATTTTGTTTCTCTCTCCTGCACGGTAATTCGTTTCTTGCCGGGATACATCTGTAGAGAACTATATTTTGCATTACAACCTCGCAATTTTTTGTCGGACACTTCGAACATATGGCTTGGCTAGAACACATACCTATGCATTACTATGGTGACAGAACTCCGGGGGAACTAGGTCAGTGCAATTAAGCAAAACAAAGGTATTTAGATTTAGCGGTGAAGCGCTACGCGTTTGTAAATGCCGCACAGCTGATCGATATTTCATGCGTTTCCTGGTATCTATCGTAAGAGCGCCGTCTCTTTGCCATAATAAACGACGCGCAGCATCTGTCCCGGAGTACCGTCAGTGATAACGAATGACGGGGGAAAAAAACCCGTTTTTTTTGTTCCACGTTGTGTGTGAACGCTGCCGCCACGCGTGATCGATCGGATACATCGGCGTTCATTCAACCCGTCATTAAAAAATCATTTTCTCGCGTAACGCAATGGTCGATGCGGCACAGACGAACTTGTATCTTTAAAATTAATAGAGGTTTCTAAAAATCGATAAATATCCCAGGTAATCCGCCGGATTACAATATTACGATTCAGTATTTTAAATATAAGGGAGCTTATTGAATTTTACAATTCAATAAAGAGATTTAGATTTTACGTTTGTTAGTTTTAAATATTATAATACGTCCTGAATATTATACCTCTAAAAAGAATTCTCTAAAAATTTTATAAAATCGAATCCTATAGGGGATCTAACTGCGCAATATCTTTACAATAACAGAAAGAAAACGGTATCGAGTATCCCCATGGACTATTCTGGATTATCCGATACCTTCTTCTTCTATATCACTCCAATTTCCTGACGGTATTAATCCCAGGCCGGTCTGCACGGCCTAACAAAAGTTATTGGGCGTGTTTCTACCTGCTACATTAATCATTCGCGGTTATTTATCAAAGAAATTATTCGAATCCTCCTAGGAATCCCAACATCGTGAAGCGATATCCCAGCCGGCCTAACATGTCCAAGGAATGGAATCAATACGAAATCGAGTGGCCAGAATATGATCCTGTCAATCAAACGTATTTCAATCTGAGTAAGTCAGCAAAAATCTCGGCGTTGGCGTATCTCGGAGCATGCAAGCGCTAATCCAAGAGTTTACAGTGAGATTTGAAATTCATATTTCTCCTCTAGCATCTTTCGCGCTCTCCAGTTACGCGGCATACGATCGAAGTAATAATGATAAAACAAGGTCTATTATCCCATGAACATTTTCACGTGTGGTTTACATCGAGAATTCTGTTTTACGGCCCATTTTGCATATTACGCAATATCCTCTCTTGCACGCAGCCATGCCGCCTAACGTAGGTGCACACTATCGTTCGGCGGAGATGCAGTTCTGGAATGAAGACCTGCCCAATCTGCTCAGGCACCCGAATAAAGACATCTCGAGCCCGATACGACCGAGAAGACCGCAGATGCCTGACTTTGCCATCAGGATTGGCAAATATGCCAACAATACCGCCAACCAGAAGTATGAAAGGTACGATACTAGGTCAGTAATAAAACCAACGAATTAATTTAACCCTTTGTGCAATTGAAATATTTTATTGTTAAATGTATATTGCGGATTAAAGCTTTTCTCTATTTTAACTTTTTTTGTGATGACCTACAAAAAATACATATTTATACGAATCGATGGATAATTTGTAAAATTTATTTTGGAAAAACTTGGAACAATTATTTTGAAAAAAATTAATTCAAATTTAATTAATTTGTTTAATTCCATATTAAAGCACTAAGTATTACACTTAAGTATTTCATTCTACTTAAGAATAGAGTTATGTTGCATTCTTTCGTACTTTTATACAAAGAGTTATACTCGGGTCGTGTAAGATATTTTTTCAGCAGGTATACGTCTCCGTCTAGCATCACGGATACTAGCACGGAGAAGCCATTTTCCACTGTGGTTACAACGGGTGGAAGTGCCGGAGAGGGTTCCACGATAGAGCCGAGCACGTTAAGGACCTCGTCGGCAATGATGATAGTGATTGTCTTCTTCGTGGTGTTTATACTGATAAATTTCACAGCCTTCCTATACATCTATTATAAGAAGCAGAACATGAAGGTAAAAGAGAAATCGTTGAAGAGGCGAGGCAGCGAGAAGAAAAACGACTCAGTCAAGAGGTCGAAGACTGATAAACATGAGAACCATTACGGCCAGCTGGGCTACAAAAGCGACAGCAAGCCAGATTTGAACGATGTGATAAAGAACGACAAGGCGTACGACAACAACTCCAACTTTGGGCGCAGATCGAAGCTATCGACGCAGAATTCCAGCTCCACCATTGATACTCATATCAAGGTTAGAGAATGGATCCAGCAGGAGATTGTGCATAGGTCAGTGAAGCTCAATAAACAATGTGCATGATAATAATTAATCTTTGACATTTTTTGCTCAGAAATTTTGAAATAAAGTTATGATTAACACTCTATTATTAAATAATTATGGATTTGCATTTTGATATAAATATTACTGTTATTTTGTTGAAATTGAATTAATTTAATAATTAATCAAATTCAAATAAATATTGTAAAATAATTGGTAATAAAGATCGAAGCTCGCTTTATTATATATTGAATTGAAAATTGTTGCTCTTTGACCTTTTAAAGTTTTATTTCATGAAACTACTTTATTACGTAATTAATTATGTAAAGGATTCTTTAAAAGATTTTTTTGCTGTCTAAAGAGAAAATTTATTCTTTAAAATTTCATGAATCGGAAATGCCATTTGGAAAATTATGGACACTCTCAAATCGAATTTAATATAATTTACGTGCTTCGAATAAAATAAACAGCTTAAACTAATTTATAGATTTTCATTAAATTATTCGCCATTCTAATATCATTCTGTCGCGCGCCATTCGATGCTCTCGTAGCAGTCAACGTTTTGAACTCGATTTGTATGTCTTTCCTAATTGCAAAGAGCTGAAGATACTCGTAAAACGCTTACCCTCGCAAATTCGTCGATCGCGGTAAGGGTCGTGCGACCCAGTAATCCAATTAGAGGTTCCGCTTAAAGAGTGGCTGCTTTGAGACGCGTGGCCCGTATCACTCAAATCAGGGAATTCAGTTGCCTTTCTCTCTTTCGCTCTCGAATATTTCGTTAGATGTATTGACTTGTGGAAAACGTTGGCAAGTGCTGCCCTACAAAGTTAATTGAACTCGACTTACTGCTCCGGACTTCTCTCGTTTATTTAACAAGCAATATCTGGTTTGCAAATCGCAATATTGTTTTTGTTTTTTTTTCACCACACTAAATTAAAAAAAATACTAGCAATAAAGGAAAACACAATTTTGAGAAAATGTTATGTACAGGCGCAGAATAAAAAAAACTGCTGTGAAATTTGTAACATGTACAAATTGCGTAATAAATATTTTATAAAACATGCATTTACATTTGTAATATTTTGAATTTCTAAAAAAGTGAAAAATCCCTTTCTGCGAGTTATTAAATAGATTTTTCATTTGTTGAGTGTCTCGCGTAATATTTACTACATATAAATAAATATATATATATTTATTTATTTTATTTACACACACAATTACATTAACAAACGAGTATATATACAACACACATATATATATATATATATATATATATACATATATATATATATACTCGTTTGTTAATGTAATTGTGTGTGTTGCATGTAATGTTATATCTGTAACTGTATGATGTAACTGTATCACATCGTAAAATGTATCGTAAAATCATATTTCTGAATATGTTTAATAATAAGTGTGCATTATTTAGGACATTGTATGTACAATATATGAGATAAACAAATGTAATATATCATTAAGTAATGTGTTTGGCAAAGTACCTTTTTGCCTGTTGGTATAACGTACAAGATTAAAAGTGATTAATTAACTCCGGGACGTGAAAGTGCAACCGCTATTATTACTGGTTGTTACCAAAATCACAAAATTAATGCGTACCTTTCATTTGCGAGATACGTAAAATGGTATTCTACGATCGATAACTCCCAATAATTGGACGCAATAACTGGCCAGTTTTAACAACTGGTAACGTTAATGGTACTGATTTTGAATTTTGCGTAAAATTTATAGAAACACGTGTTATTTCACTAATTCACATAATGGTTTCACAGCAGAAATATTGTTTATATTTAAATATTTTACACGGTAAAGCTGATCCAATAAAATTCGAGTAACTTTCTGTTGTAATAAGATTATGGAAATAATTGCTCAATTCTTAAAATAATTTAAACTATAAACAGCTTCTTCGTAAGCTTTATAATTAATAATTGTAACATAAGAACGCTAAATTAGTGTTGAATTTTTGAAAATTACGTTTGAAGATATTTATTAATTTTATTGGTTTGTGTCGAAAATTTTTTCAAAGAACACTTGCAAAATCAATCGAAGTTTTATCTTTCAGTTCTGTTCTGTTTTGTTCGTGTAGATGTTCACCGAGGTTTTTACGTAAAACGCGGGAAACATTGCAAAAGGAGCATCAGGAGAAATTGAGCAAGCAGCAAGAAGAAGAGAAGCAACGCATAGAGGAAGAAACGTTAAAGGAGAGGAAGGAGGAGCCGATATACGATGAGAGTCCGGCGTTGGTTGTGCGCCCTGGAAAAAAGTCACGGAAATTGCCAAAAATTTCGGTGGCTATTGACGCCACGCCAGCGGCCAGAACAGAGTCGATTCTGAATCAAGTGCCGATCGAGTTATCAAAGAGTATCGAAGCGGCAAATGAATACGAACTGAGCCCGCAGCAATTGATGACTCCTGAAGTAGTTGTTATAGAGCACCATCATTCTAGGAGCGATCCTCTGCCAATGGAGAACGTTTTGAAAACAATGAAGCCGAATTTCTCCACTCCCAGGATCTACGAGTCGGATTCGGGAAGCGGGAGCAGTCTGTACGCCAAGATTAACCCTAAACTGAAGTCTCGTTTGCCTCGTCCTGGTCTGGCAGCAAGCACGGAAGCGCCTTTAGTTGAACAATCGAATTACGAAAATCTTCACAACGAAGAGATCTACGTGAAGACCGGACCAATTTTAACGACCTTTGGCACGAGCGACGTAAATGTCACGTGTCGCGAACCAACCATGGAAAGAAAATGCATCAGCCCTGAAGAGGCGTTAAAGACAATAAAACGTCGAAATTATCCCAAAGTGCTGCCGGATATCGAGAAGAGACGATCACTTCCGGCGCCGAGTAGCCTTTTCATACCGAAACAGTACGCGAATTCATTAAAAGATTACAAGAGCAATCGTGCAAATTTCTTTTGGAATCAACCACCGTTGCCTCCTCCGAGAATATTCGGAGCCTCCAAAAGTCTAGAGAAGAGCGGTTTCTTTGCTGAGGAAAACGAAAGCCAGATCGAGGGCGAGCCGATCACGACAAACCTGCACGTGGGTCCGTTACTAAAAAAACCGGACTCGGCAAGAAATAACTCCGATCCTAACATTATCGATTCCTTGGAAGGAAATAGAGGTGTCCAGGCTGGCGGAAGTGTGGATACTATTTATGCTAATCCAAAGTGTCCGCTTCATGGGAGTCAATATCCCTTCTCGCCGACCTCGCAGAGTGTCGATGACGATATCGGCAGGTCTTCCGGGCTTTTGGACGTGGGCAACCCAAATTGGTACAAGCCGGCAGCGAGCGAATCGTCAGCCATAATGACGTCGACCGCATCGGAACCGCAAATCGTGATCGGCAAGGACGAGAGAGGCATCATTGACGCCACGGTGGAACCAAAGATCGTGATCACGCCAAGAGTGGTTAATCAATGCCAAGTAAATCAGCAGCCAAGTCCAACAGCGCGTTCCGAGGATAAGATCGAGCACGAACTTAAAACGATTGACCCGGCGAGAAATGGAGGATCGTCGGAAAGTTCCTATACTTCCGGCAGTTCGATAATTTCGAGAGAGACGGAAAGAAGGGAGCCGCGGATAATCATCACGGCACGAGAACCGAAGAATTGTGCCCCGGTGAGCGGTCTAAAACAACCGAAGATCATCATAAAGCCGACGGCGACTCTGCCGAGGAGCAGGGATCAGAGGAATATACCGAAGGTGTCAGCCATACCGTCGCCGGAACAGCAGAATTGTCAGAACAGCGAGCGAGATAGGGCGCTGGAGCAAAGGGAAAAGCCGTCCCTGAGGGAGAAGCCGAGGGTTACGAGGATCCCGTCGTTTTCACGCAGGAGGGAGGAGCCTGGTATTGAAAAGCCGTCGTACGTAGAGAAGACAGAAATCGCGCCGAGAGTGGAGGCGCCGGCCAGTAAAATCACAAACGCGCCATCGACATTCGATGCCAAGTCAGGCATACCGACGCCGACGTCGCCGACGCCGACGACAATGATGATGCCGAAGAGCGAGAAGACCCCCAGCAGCACGGACTCGTCGTCCGCCAGCAACGGGAATTCCACTAACTCGAATACCGGTACGATCAAACGGAAGCCGGCGAACAAGAAATAATTGGCGGGAGCCAATTCGAGAGAGCCGCGTGTTATATCCCGTCCTCTATTTCGCAAACGCGTAGATGGAATGCAGATGGGTCCCTACCATTCCGGCCAAGTGTCGATGCAGTGTCCTGATGGCGCCCAATCTCTTCCACGATACATTCACAAGTGTGTGCGTATTCGTAATAGTAACAAAATTAACGAAATCCTATTTTCTTTTCACATTTCATTTAAATTTATTTTAAATCGTTTTTCTTTTTAAATTTCTTATTTATATGATTTTGAATCCGCCAAAGTAATAATTCATAAGATTATTCTCTTTAGAATTAGTATTATTTATTACTATTCTAGATATAGACGTTGTAACGAGACGTGTGTTAAACTACTATTTTAGCGACGCTAGCGCATTTTATCCAAGGTAACCTTCTTTATTATCAATTGAATTATGCTATTTTTCTATGACTATAATAAGAATTACGCGACAGACACACACATGATCCAATTGTATATCATGTAAATAATAATGCTGTGAAAGTTTAAGACTTTAAACAGCGTGACAATATTTTTAAGATTTAAACCAGCTGAAGTGATGCATGCATGTCCATATAAAATGTTAAGATCGCTTTCGTTGCGTTGCCAATCGCATTCGAACGATCTTAAAATCAGTTAAATATGATCGATTAGACGTCGTGAGTAGATGTTAATAACTTTTCAAGGCACATTCGCTCTTTTGTACACCTATAACTTTATACGATGAAAATAAATGTTTTTTCGTACTTTTTCAGCAGAAAACTCGAAATGAGAATATATCCCATCGGCGATTCATCATCTCCCCACTCCCTTCTTTTTCATATAAACGCCGCGCCATGTATGCCTGACGTTACACGCGTCCCGCAAACTTTGTTATTAAGTGAAGCAGGTCTATAAGTCGCGCAGATGCAGCGGGGAACGGCAGAGGACAAAGTGGTTGGCGAGTTCTCACTTATATTACCGGTGGATCGAATTGATTTTCAAAGTTCGCCCGATAATGGGATTCTCCTCGTCTCTAACCATCGCCGCGCGGAAAGGAAAAGGCCATTTTCACGTTAACCCTCCTACCATTCTGCAATCAGTCTGTCTCTATCTTCCGCCGCCCTATCTCTTTTACCCTCCTTTTCTCGTGTTTTCGTTTCATCTCGTTCTACGTCATTCGATCCGTTCGAAAGCGTCACCCTGATCAGAGTTCAAGGAGCGAAAAAAGATGAGGAGAGTGTGTTTTGATGGGACTTCGCGAGTTTTGACAAAATTGGGTTTCTAAAAATACGCGACACCTAATGGCACGGTGACGATAAAAAATTTTTTTACATAAAGTGATATTTGAAGGTAGAAAGAGGTAACAAAATAATTCTTTTGCTACTTTACTTTACCAAGAGAAAAAATCCTTTTTAAATGAAAAATTGTTCTCTTTAAATTATTCAACTGAATTAAATATTCGCGGTGATCTCGTGATTCGTATGAGTGAAGCACATCAGTTTAGCGCGCTGAACTGCAGGACACGAATAATCTGACAGCGATAACTCGGTCATATCTACGGAGTCGGAGTATGCATCGTTAAGTTAACGTTTAGATGCCGGCGTTGTCCTCTACCTTATGCGACAGCGCGTAACCAGTAATCATCCACCGCACACGACGAATGGGGAAAGCCATGTAGCCGTCGTGACAGGTGCGTGGCACCGCGTGACCCATTGTCAGAATGATATACTATCAGAAGTAACGGAGGGAACAAAAGCCAGATCCTGTCTTCTGGAGACGCCCCTCGAGACTAAATTCCGATTTCTGTAGAATCACAATAATCACGACGGTAAAATAGAGTGGCGATCTTCATTCTTCATCTTAAATCCTTGCTAGCAAATTTAAAGCTTTTCTCTCTGTACTATAAAAATCATTTTTCTAAAATTAACAATGAAATTAATTTTATCAGCAAACAGAGTATTGTTGTTTTTAAATCAAACGTCAAAAAATTTACAGTCGGTATAATGCTTGAAAAAAATCATTATTATATACAAATCACGTTTTTTTTATAATTTAATAAATTTGAGAATTAAATAAAATTTCTACTAAAGTTTAGTAAAATAAAGTTACTGACACGGACATTATTTTTAATTATTATTTATAATTTAAAATAATAGTTAAAAAAAATGTTTGTTTAATAAAAACAATTATACAAACTAAAATTAAATTAAGATAATTTGCAATGGCTCAAGTTACATTTACAGTTATGCTACATAAGTTTGCAATCAGCGGGTCGATGAGAGGGGTAATTTCGGTATCGTGATTATCTGCGGCACGCGCGTCTAATTATCACACGATAATCAGCGATTAAGCACGAACTTGCGCGGCAATCTCATTATTATGCCTCGGACGGCGTCGGGAGTGCTGCGAATGCATAGATACATAATTTCGTCTTCTCTGCGTTTGAATCAATTAATAAATTTGCACCGGCTGCCTGCCCCCTGGACAAGGTCGGTCCGTCTATTTCCACTAGTGGCCATTGTTTCCAAGACAATGCCAGGCTACTTGGCAGTTAGAATACATTGTATTGCTCGAGAGGTGGCTACTGAACGCGTGATGTCAGATTAATTAGACTTCGAAATGAATACAAGAGGCATCCCTAAATAACTTTCCTTTAATTACAATGCACGACCAACTGGGGATAACTGCATTTTTTTAATATTATAATTTTAATAATTTTTGTTTAAAATTTTTTTACTTGTAAATAATTATATAAAATCACTTCTTTCAAGTGCGGAGGTTTTTTGATTAATACAATAGCCTCTTATTTAAAAATTGTTCAAATCACAGTGTTTTTTCAAGTATGGTTTGTGTTATAATTATTTATGCATGCAATGCCAATTATTAACAAAGCGCGCGGTTAATGTGGTTACAAACGAACATCACATATGTTTCTGTAAACGACCCCACGTTCAGTCTCAAGCTGGGTAGAGAATAAACGACAATGGTACATTCAGTGGAAATGACAGTAATCGAAGAGACCGCAGCCGTCCCCAGTTGTAGAAGTTCCCATTGGGTGAGATTTGTAATCTCTATTGGGTCCGAGGATTTCAATTCCAAGGATTTCCGAAGCAAAATCCAAGAACAATAACTATACAATTTAAAAGGATTAAAGAATCTCAGGGTCCAAGGGAAATTCCTCCCCCCACCCTAAGAAATAAATAAAAAATTCTACAGTTAAAAAAAGCTGCAGGTTTCCAGACGCTCAAAGATCTAAGATTGCAAAGGTAGGAAATGTTCAAACGTTCCGAAGAGATGGTTGAGAAAATTCTTGAGCAAGACACAAACGAGAAAGACAGATCTAAAGAAAATATCTTTAAATGGAAGCTTAATCTCACCTCGAAATAGCTCTGATCCATAGGGAAACAATTCCGACGTCTGTGACGCGCCGTGTCCGATAGCTCGGATGTTTATCAGGTTTTTTTATCAAATGGTTTCACATTTCCCATCGACCCTTTTCTCACTAAATGCATTTACTCAGCTCCTTCTCTCATGTCATACACATTTTTAAAAAATCAAGTTTCTCTTAAAATTGATGCGTCAAAATTTGAAAAAATTACGCTAACATTATTTTCTTAATCTTACTATATATTTTCAAATTTTTTACTCAAAGATGTAGATTCTTCTTGTCTTCTTGATTTTGTGTCGATTGTAATTTATAAAATTTATCCATTTTTATGATCAAAAATTAAAATGCTTTCGATAAAATAGTACAATTATTAATAAACGGATTGTTCAGAAAATTTTAAAGAATTTTCATCGAATTACATATTGCGAGTAAAAAGATAATGCTTTCCAGCGTAACTAACCGGGTACCAATACAGGCTCAATAATTCTTTATTAAGAAAGTTCCGTAGGATAACTTCATTAATGTTTGTACCTGTTCGACAGACGCCAGGGGCGATCGAAGTTGAAAATTGTCCGTCGTCGCGGCGACACTCGATAGCAACTTGCAGCAACCCAAATCCAATAAAAAAGTACATGTGCCTCCACAATGTCATTACAAAAGATCAATTTTTATCATTTGACAGACAAAGTTTTTGCATTACGCGCGAAATAAAATTGTCAATACACGCTAACAACAGTTCATAAATAAATCTCAAAGTCTGGAAATATCTGGAAATTTGTGAAATCTTACTATTTTTACGATTTCTAAAAAAAAATACTTTATATATATATATTTTTTTTTTGGATCTTTATTATAGCTTTTATTATAACCTTTAAATAATTTATATTTATAAATAAAAAAATTTATTCCTTCACTCTTATAATTTGATTATTCAAAACTAGCAAACTATCAACTTTATATAGTGAAATAATATTTATGATTATAGGAAAACAAAGCGGAGTAAACTTACGAAACAAGCTTTTTCTTGAATATTCGTTGTTTCGCATCGGGCAGTTCTTTGTGGATCCTCATTTCCATCTACGAGGTAAATCGAATCTTCTCGTCTGCGCTTCTTTTCATCCTATTTTCACTTTGGCAGAAGTGGGAAAGGCAGCGTGAGAAGTGCAATTCGGCGTCGCCGTTTGTTGCGAGACGCGAATGTGATTTTGCTCCCTGCGTTCGCGTCTCGTTAGAGCGAAAATCTTTCGACATCGGTCGCTCCGAATTACCCGACGATCCTTTATAGCGTGCTTGATGGCGACGTGTGACGATAAAGTTGATTGCCTGGCTACTCAACATGTAAATTGTACATTAGCATTCTCAATCTTCGTATATTTCGTCTCAAAAGAGACTTTTGGAAACGCACATATCAATTTAATACTCATCATTCTTCTCACAATTACTAATTAAAACTGCGTGATAACAAAGATTATATATTAGATATTAAAACATAAATGTAAATGTTTCAAACTCCTTTCATATGTCGATAGAAGGATTAAATTTCTTTTGTACCTGAAATCTAGGATTACGAATTGCGCAATCTTCGAAGATTTAATGGACCTTGGAATCAAACATCTTTGAAGTTCGACTCAGCTCTTTTGCATGCCAAGAACACCGTCCCGGTTTAAACTATTGAAGGATCACTTACCGTAGGCCTCGCAAGCTCCCATTATTCACTGCGATCCGATTACGCGAGCTTTAGAGTTTCTCGCGGCGCATTCTGGATGTTCTCGTTAAGAACATCGACCGAGCTACGGTTTCCGGTTAACCGCCCTCTTCAGGTCCGATGTCTTCAACGTCGTCGCGTCGCGCCTTGTCTCGTCGAGCAAATTGAATTTCGTTCTCAGTCATTTCCGCCGCTGAAACCGGCCGGGCGAGAGAGAGGCTGTCCACCCTGCGGTTGACAAAGAGCACGGCTTGGTCCAAGCGGAAGAAACACGGCGAGTCGTTTTCTTTCATACACTTGGACATCAGCAACGTCTGCATCCTGTCTTCGGGATGCCCAACAGGGCGATTCATCTTCCGAGAGATTAGAGCGGGTTGAACGCGTCTGAAATGGATTGGATCCTTAGAACTCAGAGTTTTTTTGAGAATCCACAGATTCTTAGAAATCCCTTTGGACTCTTTTGAGTATTTTCTCGATTTTCTCGGCGATAATCGAATTTTTGAATCGAAACTTTGAAGATCATTAAAAAGTTTCTTTAGAATATGTTTTTCACCTTTTCTCACTTATTCCTTTTAAGAAGCTTTACGAATCTGAGATTTTATAAAGCATAATATTTTTGTGTTTATTTGAAAAGTAATTAGGAAAATAATTAATTTATTACAAGTAAGTCTTTCAATAGCGACGCAGTACGTACAGTGACGTGAAGTGGCATCTGCAAAGTCTTTATCCTTTCGAGGATTTTGTGGTGGAATAAATTTCATTCACGCGCGAAAGAACTCAAGGACTCGGCCGTTAACGAAATTAGTAGTCCCGCCGGGAAACTTTTTCAGCCGATCCCTCTGTACGTTGAAAAAGTTTCAAACTCCTGCATGCTGCCAGCAGGATGGGAATCCTCTGATATATCTCGTCGAATTTCGACTGCGCGGGATCACAATAGAGCCCTGAAAAAGGAGCAACGGAACACGAGTATATCACTCAGCTTGCTCCGTTTACTCCGTTTCGGCCCGCTGAATTACTCTAAACGTGTAACACTTTGAGCGTGACGAACATATAAGCGTTAAATTCGGTAAGGAGAGAATGTCCTATCCCGTTTGGTCTGCGTGCGAAAATTAAAGAATTCTGCATGTAAATATTCACATGTAATGTGTGTAACGTTTTTACGTTTACAATAATATAAAAAGATTTTTATCTAGAATAATATACGCGCGTCATAATTTCAATACAGTTTATGATTTCTGAATTTCGATATTTTACCACATGGCAGTGGTTTTGTCTCGTAAATTTCGATGAAGTTTGATTAATTTGTACACAAGATCGGAACACATATTGAAAAAAATTCGTCAAACATCGCGTAAAAGTTCGTTTATATCATAGAATATGTTATAATTTTATGGAAGTTGAAAGCGATGAGGTTTACCGCCTCCAAAATATTAAAATTATTTAACAGGTCGCTGTAAATTAAATTTTTTGTATCGCTAAATTAAAAAAAATAAATTTATAAAAATAATTGATTGTTTATGCATTAAATTAAAAAATTGTCGATAGATATATGCCTTATATAAGATTATTGAATTTTTGGATTAAACTATTTTGACGGAATTTTATTGCCGGATTTCAAGATATTGCGGAAAATTTCGGGAGATTTTTAATATCTGCAGATATAAAAAATATGTAAAATTTAAATTCTTAAAAATACTGGTAAATTTTATTACTTTTATATTGCAAAATTTTTGTATTTTGTTATCCTGGTATGTTTGATATTTAAATTCTTATATCATTCTTAAAAATTCTACATAATTTCTGTCGCCTAATATATATAATTCAAATTTCTCTCTAATAAAATATTTCAACCCTTTGGATTATCTTATTGTTTCGTCGCTATAAATTTTCACAGCCACCGAAGTGTCAAGTTACGAATTGCGAATCGCACACGGAGCGTCAACGCATCAGACCACAATATTGTAGACATCCGAAATTACAATGTCAACGTTTGTAAACAACATTGTCTGTTGCAGATGCACCTGAGCCTCTATATGTCAAAAAAGTTTTTCACCACTTGAACGTTTAACTGTCGTTTGATATACACGCGCAACATTTTTTTTTAAATCAACAATACGCTTTAGGGGATGATTAGATTCTTTGTTACATAAAAAGTTGTATGTATAATTTAATATGATATACTTAAGACTATAGAAATTGAAGGTAAATTTCACAACGATGTATAAATTTTTATTAATAATATAGAACTAATAATTAGAATTATTTTTCAGTTATACAGATAATTTTGTATGTAGTTCAATATATAGTAGCATTTTCCATTCATCATTTATTTATGCTGGTAGTCCCGAATTTTTCGCAATGTTGTGATCTCGTTGACCTCTTTCCGTTTGAATGAGCCGGCTCGCTATTCACGCATAAGATTAATTAGCTTCAAGATCTTGGGCAGAAGACGGCGTGGAATATCCGACAGTGTAATTGAGCAATCCAATTAGCGGTCTCGGCGCAAAGCTTGAAAGCTCTCGAGCTCTTGTGGCCGATGCGAGTTTATTCGGGATTCGCATGTCCTTCGAGAGGACATCGATCTACCGGATTTCCGCCTTGTGAGGAGCGATGCGTTTCCTCGACAAGTCCCTAGACGGCCCTAAAGTCACTGCGAAAGGGTCCATCCGTTGGCAGAACTGAATCGATAACCGACTGTCCTTTTCTTCGCGCGTCCCCACGAGTCTGCGCGGCGCGTTTCGACGACGCTCGAGCTTTCCAGACATTCCAGCCCGCAAGGCCGGGTTACGCTTTACGACCCTTCGATTTTCCTATTTAGGAGAATTTCCACTGTATATTACGCCTTAAGTCACATAATACTCCTCATAGAATAATCAGGTTTTGGCATACATAAATGTATGTAGTTGTATTTTGTAAGATAGATTGTTCATCTTTACTATATCATAAACCTTTGCGCAAGTTGTATTACATTTAGTTGCAAGATTAAAAATCGTTTATTAGAAATTAATGTAGAAGTTTAATGTTTAAAATGCTATAAAAATAACAATACATTTAAATTTAACCTTCTTGCTTTTAAATTCGTACCAATTAAAGAATAATTTATACCTTTACTTTTTTTATACATTCCTGCAAAAGTTAGATTTTTTTAAAAAGGGGTTTTTCAGGAGACCAATAAAGTATTAAATAATCAAAAAAAGAGGATACGAAATAATATTGATGTTGCCATAAACTGTCTCCTATCTCAAGATATAAAGCGAAGTTTAAGCGAGCCCAGGAGATGTAGTCATGCTTCTGGTTTCACATGGAACTCTCTGCGCCCGGCTAGCGAGTTTCACACAGCATCCAACCCCGAAGTGTAATCCGTGGAATCGACCGTGGCGCGCTCGGCAGACGGGAATGGAGGCTCTGGCGTCGCGTTGCGCGAGAGCTTGCGAAGCTTTCCATTCCGGTGCCGTAGTCCGTCTCGCGAACCTCGCGGCGACGTTACATACGTCGCGTCGTGCCGGTTACCGTGCCGCCCTGCACCGTCCGAGGGGTGACCCCGCGTCGTCGCAGCGTCCCTTAGGGTGTCAACGGGTTTGCGATAGTCTGGGCGTCGCGCTACGCGGCGTCGTGGCGCCGCGTTCACTCGTACGATTGCGAGTGGAATGCGCGCGGACGCGTCATCACCGGTCCTGCGAGGGTTGAAACATTCCCTCGGACTCACTTCCGGTAAACGCAGACCGGAAGATGCAAGCTCGCGCTATTCGAATATCCGGCGTTGACGTTGATCAAAGTGTGACACAGTGTCGACAGATATCGATAAAACACGGAGAAGTTGACCGATTTCATGAAGTTAAAGAATGTCCGTGGAAAAAATCGTAGAGGCTATTCGAAGGGAAAATACCTAAAAATTACTGTGCGTAAAATGTATAACATTTGATTAATTGAGCTGTTTGTAGACGTCAAAACTGATTCAAAAAAGTAAACGATATCAACGAAAAATTTAAATACTAGATGTTTCTACCGATAGAGACCGTTTTGTGTGATTAACGGAACGCAACATAGTAATATATCAGTGATATCGGATCGCTGTAAAATTGTTTGCCCTGCCCATGAATGAGGGACAGATTAACTGGCGGCGGAAGATGAAATGTTAGGATAAAGAAGATTCATCGCGTCGTAAACTTGTGCAGTGTGCAGTTCGAAGATTAATCAAAAGTTCGCGTGTTAATTAAGTTAATTTAACTTGACTTTCGGCTACCGTCTCAGTCATTCGCAAAACGGAGTGATTTTGCGTTTGTGTGTTTGTGCGTTTTATAGTGATTATTGAAAAAATGTGTCGAATTTGTGCGTGAGGTCCTTTCGCTTTTGATTGCATCGATTCCAAGGAGTCCTTCTTGTTTCTGAACGGTGAGTTTGAATAATAATTATAACAATAATTAAAATCAATTCTTATTCACACAATTGTTGCTATTATAATTTCTATTAATTATATTTTTCATATAGTACATTTTCTCTATATAATCAAAAAATCATAGAATTCTCAGAATGCATATTTAATTATCTTCTTAGAACATTATTAATATTTATTCAAATAAGTCAGTGTCATACAATATAATGAGAAAAACATAATGTAATTAATATGTATATCAAATAAAAACAAGACTATTATATTCATTAGCGCGTTAATTATATGAATCATTAATAAGTAAATAATCATCTATTATTTTGAAATACTTTACTTCAGATTACATAAAATTATATAACGTGCGCATATAAATTTAATTAACAAATTTTGTAATTAAATAAAAATTGGTAATTGTCGTCATTTATTGATTTAAATGAGTATTTCTCATTAAGAAGTTTAAAGATATTCACTAATGTCTAATACTTCACTTTCAATCAATGAATATCTAAATAGCTTTAATTGAAGGCATTAATAATATCTCTCTCTTTCCTATATTATACATGAAATTTTAATACACTCATAAACAGTTTCGAAGAGGAATTAGCGCTGCAATAAATATTTAAATTGTTTCAATATTTAAATTGTCGAATTACGTCGTGAGCAGGTTCTCATGTTCACATTTTTGATAAATTCAATCATAATATTGAAAAATATTGTACGTTTGTGGAACAATTGAAACGTTCAATAAGTTAAAATTAACGAGTGAAGATTTCCGCGGTTCTGTGTGTTGAATTGAAAGCGCGGCGGGGGTTAAACGGGACCTCATCGTTTCGATCTTCCACATCGCGCGGAAACATGGCGGGCGTTCTCGCTCAACAGTGAAATTCCTGTTTTTCCAACGGTAACCCGCCGCGGGGGTTTCCGCGTTTAAATATTCCCGAAGTATGCAAATGCTGTAAATTCGCTGGAAAATATACCGGGAGAGCCCGAACGTAGCCCGAGCTATCGAATCGTTATAGATATCGCGGAACGTTGCACGCGCGCACGCGAAAATGTATTAACCCTGTGGCCCGCCGATAATTTGCATAAACGGCCGACGGAATTTACGTGCGGCCGCCATGTCGCGTCCTCCCGCGCCGCCGACTTCAAAGCGGATTACAAGTTTCTGACGATTTACGTGCTCATTATGCCTTTGTGAGCTCTCGCGGTTAGTGCCGAAGCGCACTGCAAGAAGTTTCAGACACTTCTGGAATAAACTCCAACGCGATATATCTTTGGCTTCGGCGGTTACACGAGGCACGTAATGTTGTTCAACCTTTAAGCGCGTAGCTTAGAATATATACAATCCTTCGAGCACATAATTACGTGTCTGCAAATGCAATTTATACATTCTCGTATAGAGATATTCGAAAAAGACAATTTCGATGGCATCGATAAATATTATAATAAATGTGATTCACTTTCCACTTGATAGGAGACTGCTTTTTTCCTAGGTTTTCCTTTCTTTTTTTTTTGCGCACTTTGCGACATTTCGAATAAGTTGGAATCATAAAAATATCCGCAGAAAAATTTGTGCGGTTCTATAAGCAAGGTGATATTGTTCTCGTATCTTCCCGAAGAGGACACGCGTCCAATCTCATATTCTGTATTTCCTTCGAAAATACGCCTCCTCTGTATTTGTAGCGTATTGGAAAAATAATCCCGCCGCCGCGCCGACCTGGCATCCGCGCGAAGAGCCCGGAATGCAAATGTGTTCTATTGATAAATGCAGGGCGGCTATAACAAACACACGCGACGCATACTCGCTCGCGATTTCGATTGAATGAAATTTGTTCTGCTTACGTACATAAGACGCCTGATTTATCTTTCCCGACGCAACGGCGAAACGCGGATTACGTGCCTCGCATGTGTACACCGGGCGTTCCCTCCTCGAGAAATATGCGGCGAGAGATTCGACGGGCGAGGTAAGGCGCAATCGCTTCTGCTATCATCGCGCGAAATCGCGTTTATCAGCATCTTAACATTCACGACAAAATGAAACGAAAAAACGCGCCGCAGTAGGTATAACATTATTAATGAAAGTACAAAGCTTGAAACGTGGCAGCGTTAATAACGATATGTCGAGTACGTGCGCAGGGTGTATAGTACATATAATAACAATAATAATAATATTCGTTTAGTATAATTAATAAGTTTATCTCCGCCTCCCGTCTATGCGGGGTTCAAGAGTATCGCGTATACAGCTTTTGTAGAGAATTTTACATTCCAAACCTCTCTCTCTCTTACCGTCTTACACACAGATTAACCATCGTCGCTAAAACTAAGGAAAATTCTTGGACTTTCTCCGCACGTAGCCGCTCGCAAGATTACTTCAGGTAGTTGGAAACTTATTTCATGCTGTAAATGGTCTCGCGTTCATGCACACGGAGTATGTCTGCGGTATAAGTCTTCGGCTATGCGATATCCGAGATTGAGAGGCTGATTCACGCCGCGGTAGTGAATAGGGCATTTCGCTCGGCGGGGCGGGACGAAAGCCGCAAGTTTTGATGAAATGCATTCTGCGGTGTGCTGCAGCGACTATATAAGAAGACTGTTCGGGGTAGGCATTGCGTGAGGTAAAACGCGTTCCGGTTTAGGCGTGCGCGTATACACGCGAGACAGCGAGACGAGAGATTGAGAACAGCTCGCGAGAACAGGAGAATTCATCCCTTCGTCGAGCGGGGACTCTTTCTTCTTGGCTGTACTTCGACTTCATCTCGAGTTGTCCCCGTTTCGCGCCATAATCAGAGTTCAGCCAACTTCGCTCTTTCTTCGCTTCTGCCGCAGTCCCCTTCAACTCTAGACGTATTACTCTCCTTCTCCCCGTCTTTTCTTAAAGTTTCTTTCCCGGCGTGAATAGAATCCTGCCGGTTCAAAAATCAAAGATCCTAAAATTGAAATATAACGGTTTTGTAGGGAGAGTAACGATCCAAGAACTTAAAACCGCATAAGATTACGACGACGCGGTAGAGAACTCAAATATAATCGTGCAGTCTATAGGTTCTTCGAGATGAAAGAGACGTTGAAATGTAAATTTATATAATATTAAATCGTGCGTAAAAATTGCTCAAGTTTTAAACACGGATATTTTGTATTGTCGATTTATTGTATTCTAGATTTTTATTTCCCATTTTTTATAATTATTTGGGTTTTAAGCTTTTGGGATATTTTTAATGAAATTTCAACTTTCTTGACACATTTTTAAATGTCGAGTTTCAAATCCTAACTGATTCAACAATTTTAGAGAAAAGGCTTCTTAAATCTTACAATTAAATTCCCTGAAAACTGTTGGATCTTAAGTATATAGAATCTTTTACATCTTAAGTCTTTTAAATCCTAGGTTCTTTAGATAAAGATTAAGACTATCTCTTGGTTTTAATAAGTTTTAGAATTAAAAAATTTTCTTATTAAATTTTTATGCTTTAAGATTCTTATATTCTAGCAGTTTGCGTTTTTGATACTCGCAATTTTTTAATTGTTAAATTACGGGATTATAAATTTAGTTATAGTCTATTAATCTGTAATAGAATCTTTTTCGATTATATATACTTTATATTCTTTTACTGCTTATTTCTTTTAATCGCTCTTATTGTCTTATCTTCTTACGATTATATACTTTATTATCTTTTACCTTTATTCTCTAATTTTTATCTGAATTTTCATGCAATCTCAAAGTTTAATTATTTTAATCAGGTAATTTCTCTTTCCTTGCCACTTTCGTAGGGATTATTTTGCGAGTTTGTATAAACCGTTCGTATCAAATCGCAAGCATAATGAGACGTCATCAATTATAACAAATCATTTTTCATTTATTGATCGAACAACATTGCCTTTCGGTAACGAGGAAAATGTTTATTAACCCAGCTACTAGTTGCGATATTAATTGGATGACAAAAGTTTATTAGCGTCTGTGTATTCGCAGCGCAATCGCGCACCGCGCCATGTCGGCGCGTTATATTCCGTCGAAAATTGCGAGCGGAGAATCCTGCGGACGCGTGGAACTCGGCCAAATGCGATGTGCACACTATGACGCGCTGTATCTCGCGCGCGGGGCACGAGTGAAAAATGTCTCACTTTACACCGTAGTTTCAGTATCGCCATTTAAGTAACATATCGCGGTAACTTCGCCTACCATCGAGCGGGCGAATTTTGGCACGATGGATCGATAATCCGTTGTAGCGTATTTGATTACGGTACCACCCGATACGCATTTCGGGAATTATTGAGGGAAGCTGGCTCCGATTCCTTCATTTTCAAGAACTATTCGATATCTCTTTATGATACTTCTAAATTTGGATTTTTCAATATCTTCAATATATCGGAAATCCTTGCAGACATATCAATCAAAGTTCAAAGATGAAAATTGTAGATTCCATGATTATTATATCATATATCTTGTCAATTATGGATTTTTAAAGTCTGATGCGTTCTTGAAATGGCTTGGACTTTGTGTCTAGTAAAAATTAAGAAAGAATCAAAACTCTACCGTATGTTGAAATATTTATATTTAGTTCAAATTCAATAACGAAGAAGCTATAGTTATTTGAATTATTCTTATGAGTTTTAATATATGTTCAATTAAATATATATTTAATATTGTATATTAAAAAAAGATTGTGGACGTAAAAGATATATATATATATATATATATAGAAAAAGTCATTTTTCTTGCGTTGTTGGTTCTTCAACTTCGCATTACTGAGAATACAAGAGCCATAGTGCTGGGATCGTATTCTCTAAAAAGGAGCAGTACAATCTTCTTGTCTTTTGTGATTGAACGGCAGGAACGGTTATTGTCTGTGATGTAATTCGATTCCTGCCGCGTTTGGAGAGACAGTTCGATCTTGGTTTACGCGAGTGCCCTAATACCTCGGGATGTTGGGATCTTAGAACAGAATCAACCGGAATGGTAATCGCCAGCTACCGCGCGTCGGGAATTCCTGCAGTGAAAACAGTTAATTCG